TGGTCCCATGGATAGACTGCTCTCCATGTCTATAAATAGCACAAGTTAATTTATGCAAGATCTTTCTTTTCTTTTATAGCCATCTCCCAAAGTGTCAATATCTTTCTGGCGAGGAAGTACCAGCTCTGGAGCTGGAATGCTGGTCCTGTCTAAAGCCCTGCCATTCCGTGATTACATTACAGCAAAAAAGCGTCTGATCAAGTGACTCGTGATTGAAAAGACAGGCAGTGACAGCCTGATCTGAATGCACCTTCATTTCAAAAATAACTATCGGGTATCTGCAAGTCAGCTGGAATAATAGCAGTGAGAAGCGGGGAAGGCAGCACGGCTCCGAGCGGGGTCAGGGAGCTTTGTGCCGTTCCCCATCTCACGCTGCCCGAGTGGAGTTTTCTTTGCAGATCCCTTCTGCATCTGGTTTCCACCTCCCTGCTGGAAGGGATGAGCCAAAGCTGGTGGGAAATCTCGTATTTCTAAGCTTGCCTTCATCAAGGCTGATGGACAGCTCTGGTGGGTAAGGAGCTGTAATTAAATAAGGAACGAATATAGTTTTTGGGAAGCTTCCTTGTAGGGAAGTGGTTTTTCTTTTTTTCTTTTATTTCTCTTAAGAAAGAGGACTTTCTCTTCTCAGCATTAACAAAATATCTGCTAGCCTTGAGCCATCCCTTTGTGCACGCCCTGGTCAGTCAATGAAAACGTAACAGGGACTTTGTGCCATCTCGAGCCTAATGCCCATCAAAACAGTCACCAGCAATGTGCATGGGAAGACCCAGGCCAGGTTCTGCTCTGTGATGAATCTAAACCCTGCTTGGTTCAGTAGGGATATTTTGGATTTGCCTACGTGTAATTTAGAGCAGATTTTGGACCCTGCTCATGAGCATTATGCCTTTTCCTGCAGGAAGGGAGATTGTTTGTGACCTTAGTTAAACTAAGCAGCTTTAATCATCGGGTATGGAAACACCAAGACTGGGCTGGGGGCTGGGGACACAGCCATGAGAATCCTATAATCTTTGGTTAAGTTGTAATGAAATTGTCCAGGATGAGAAGGAAACAGATGGATTCTGATTAATTTCTCACAAGTGTAGATCTTAGCATCCAGTGTAACATATGTGGTGAGCAAATGTCACTCATGCCTCCAAAGTGCAGAAAATATCACTATTGTCAGGATATATTCATTGGCATATTGGCTGCTGAACTCCCGAGGGTATAAAGATGCTGTGCATTACATTTAGTCCTGAATTAAATATTCAGAGGCAGAGATACCTAACCTGTCCCTGTATGCCTCACTGGTTATCACAGTTGAACTTAGTGAATTAAAAGAGGGAGGGGAAGGGAGATCTTCCCCCTCCTTTGTAAATCGTTATTTACTGTGGGAGGAACATCAAGATGGCTTGATATTTCTGCATTACACCATTCAGTTGGCTGGCAATAGAGCCCGAGTTAGGGAAAATAATGCAGCTTTGAGCTGTAAATGAGCAACTACGCTACTTTGATCTTGTACTGATAGAAATCAGAGCCTGGCTCTGTGTTTGTGGAGTCGCTCTGGTTTCTGTCACTTCTATAATCTATTCCATGTAATTGCATATTAAAAAGAAATGAAGTTCATTTATTGATTGCCACTGTATTGTTTAAGGCAGGTAAACATAAGAGGCCAGAGCTCCTTGCTCTTGTCTCCGTGCAGTCTTAGGAAGTGGAAGGAGCTATGCATGCAAGTAAAGCGAGGCCCCATCTGCGCCGAGGAAAGAGATTCATTACAGCTGACTTGTCCTGTTAGAATTACTGCCCCAGACTGTTTCTCAAGAAAAAGATGTCACTAAGATATCTATTAGAGTATTTCACTGCCGAACTTGGGAACTGAATATTGAGCAGTTGGACTCCAGCACAGCCCAAGCTCTGCCCATGGACGTGGTCTCCTCCTCCAGGCCATCCCCATGCAAAATCATGCAAAGTATATGTTGGTGTTTTCTTTTCTGAAAATGAAATCCTCATTAGAAAAATAGGGGAAAAATAGGTACTTTTGCTCTCTGCTCTGCTGTATGTTGCAACTGTGCCGATCTTAATTTGTAGATTTTCCTCTTCCCCTTTGGCAAACACTGTTCCGGCTCACATTACGAGCTTGGTTGGTCTTAATGATCTCATTTCTATCAGCTGCATGGACATCTTTTTGGGAAGCTGACACACCTTAAAAGGAACTTTACTTCTGATTGAGGAAAACAAAGCTGGTAGGACTGAAGAAAGCTGAAGGCAGCCACGTTTGCTGCTGTCACCAAGCGGCCAAATCCCTCTCACTTCTCCCCATACAGTGTTTTGTTTTGTTCTAAATTGAAGATGCAGCAAATCTGAGTAATAGCTGTAACTTTGCTAAATAGCACCCATCTGCTAAAGTCATAACTTTCATTTTAATTAAGACCTCTAGTTTTGGAAAGCTTGACCTGAGATTCTGCTTTCTCTTTTCCATCATCTAATTCTCTGACCTATGCTGGCCTACAGGCTCCTGGTGCCTTGTGAAGCACAGCAGTACTGGGTTTGACTTCTGCACTCATTAGAGACAACTAGCAGTCTCTGTTCTTAAATCTTTAAAAATCCTAATAAGACAATCAGACTTTGATTCTTCAGGAAGCTGCTACACCACTGAGTGTTGGTTTTGCTGAAATTCCTGCCACTGGCTGTTTCCAACCATTTTTGCCTGGTTTTGCCTTAATTATATACCAGAAGGGAAGGGACAACTCATGCATCTGCAAACTTGGTGAGCAATAGCGCTGTCCTTCGTCAGCTGAAAACTTCTTCTGTTTTTCTGGTTTTGTTTTTCCTATGCTTCCCAATAGTGCCCCACTTGGAGCTCCTCCATGAAGCGCTCTCACTGGAGCCAATGGGACAACATTCCATCATTGCTTGTCACATCAAGACTGCACAAAACAACACCAACCCAGGGCTGAACTCCAAAATCCCTGAGCAAGGTCAGACTGGCTCTTTTTACTCTGTTCTATCACATGGCACTGGAGCTTCCTTGAAATGCATGGTCCCCATTTGCCATCCTGGAGACCAGAAGCGGCACAGGGACTCCTTGACCCATGAAAGAGGTGATGTTGTGAAACTACATCAGGATATTCTGACCCAGTTTTTGTTGTGTGAAAACCTCAGAGGCTCGATGTGCCATCCTGGCTAAATGCACGGTTTACTGAATAAACCTACAGACTGCATGGCAGGGCAGAGGATTTTGTAGATAACCAGGAAGGCTTGAAGCCATAAGAAGTGAAGCCAAGGAAAGAGATGAGCTCACAGGGAAGCTAAAATGGTGGATATGGAGATTTTTATTAATGAATTGCAAAGCTGGAGAGAAAAGGAATATACAACCGATACAGAATTGTCTTGTGCCTAAAAATAGTCCCACAAATGAGTGTAACTGAGATCTTACTCAGCCAAGTGAAGCCATTTCCAACGTGCAGAATGTGGAGAGTGGGACCTGAGCACGCATTGCCTTTGTCTCCTCAGTTGGAGCACAGCACGTGGCAGTCCCAGTTGCTGCTCCCTGCGTGCTGCAAACTGGTGGAGATATTAAATTGGGGCGTAATGATGAATGAAACTGAGGGACGTGCCTTGATTATCCCAAGTTTCTAATGTATAATTGAATTATTTTGGTAAGTATATTTCAAGCCCTTTGATTTCTGGCCTCTGTTTTTAATTACTCAGCCCCCTCTTGCCCTTGTGCATTATTATGCTGTTCATTAGCATTCAGTGAGGCTACAGAAGTTTGACTTCTGAATAAAGTAGCATACGAAAGAGAAAGGATGCTTTTTATCTTACCACTTAATAATTTAAATGGAGCTCTTTTCTTTAATCAATGTTTAATAGTACAATAGCTGTTTATTTAAACTGCGCATTGCCTAATTTTGCAAACAAAAAGGAGAGGAAAGATAAACATATTTAGAAATAATGAGCTTTGTAACTATTGTAATCTTCAAAGGATTTAAAATATCTACAGCACTTATAACGTCGGTTCATCTCAACGAGACAGTACCATGGGCCTGGATGCATCTGTATCATTTATGCAGCGTTAAGCAGTACAAGCCTATTTTATATTTGCAGGAAGCAGAAAACCTTGCTAATTGCAAAACTGAAAGCTACTCAGCAGCGTTAATATTGTTGGCATGACCGCCAGCTGCGATGATTAGGATGTGTGACAGAGGGAGAGATAATTTGATCACAGGCCTGGGGACTGGGAGCTCCTGTGTCTTGCACCTACAAAGGAAAATATGGGGAGAAAGGCAGTGGGGTAGAAATTCAGTGGGGATGCGCTGAGTGTGTGATGCTTGTTCTATGTCATCAGCAAAAGATGGCTCGCTCATTATGGGCTGGAGCTGGGAGCCTGAGCCATGGCAAGGTCAGGGGGACCCGCAGAGCCCGACATAAAAGAGATGGACTAAAGCGCTCGTCCCTCTGCTCAACGTCCTCATCTGTAAAACAGGAATTGATCAGAGATATCTCGAGGATTTAGAGATATCTGGAGACCGCTTTGGAGGCATTAAAACTGGCGAGCATAATATCTGCATTTCAAAGTACTCTTTGGACATCACTTAATTCATTTTGACAGCAGCCCTGTGCAAGAAACGTGGCCATCTCCATTGTCTGGATGGGATAACTGAGTCCACAACCAGCCCGAGGCAGATGGGGAGGAGAGCTGAGTGCAGGGGGCAGCAGGGCAGGGAAGCAGTGAGATCCTGTCTCCAGCGGCTCAGTTATAAAAGCACCTGTGGCCAGCAGCCTGTTCTATCCACACACACTGGGGGTGTTGATACCATGTAATCCCCACCTGATGTCCTGGCCAGGCTCTTTTCAACAAATTATTCCCCAGAGAGAAAGACCTGATCTTTTTCTTCTGATTTGTGTCTCCATCCCCTAAATCTTTCCTTCTGCTGCCAGTACCTTCAGTTCTCTTTCCCCCCACCCCCCCCCCCCACCCCACCCTCCCTCTTCCAACTTACTTCTCACAACCCTTTGTGCAAGCTTGGACTTCCTTCTCTGCTCCACCATTTCTGCCTCCCTTTTGATTTTTGAGGGGTCTGGGGTAAAGACTGGAAGGGAGTAACTGTGTCAGGAGCAGTAGGCAAAGGGGTGGTAGCTCCATGGGGAAGGACTGAGAGAACTGACCTGATGCCATGGGCTCATTCCTTCCTATTTTGGCTCATTTGTAAGTCCTGTTGACTAGGAGAGCTAAGATGGGTTGTGTTAACGTGGAATGAAGGAGAGCTAAGATGAGTTTTTTGGACCCTTTGTTTCAGGCTGAATAAATTTATCCAAGGTATGAGAATCTGCTGCTGGCTTATTAATTCATAATGAGCTGTGGTGTAAAAGCTACAGACATTTTCACTGGTTTTCAAAAGCATGCTTAAAAAAGTTGCAAGTGGCCGACTTGGAAGGCAAATAATGCAATTCCAAATCTATAGCAGTTGAGTGATTTCTTATACTCAAAGTAGCCTGCCCTGCTCCACAAAGCATATCTTCAGTGGTTCTTCCTATTTAAAGAATGTTTGTTCTAGATGATGATTTGCATTACAGCAGCACTTAGTCTGATCCTGGCTGCGTTCCCTGCCATCGCATTAAGCTCTACAACCACTTATTGCGAGACGGTGCCCTCCCTCGTATTTAAGCACCTGCCTCCCGCAGAAGCGCGTATTCGGATATCGCTGGCGAAGCACGCAGCGGGGCTGCAGGAGGAACGGAGGCTGCAAAGTGAGTTGGTGAAGGCTGCGCAGAAAGTCAGTGGCAGAGCAGGAGGCAGACTCCGTTTTCCAGCGTGCTGGAAAGCACTGACCCTGGCTTCGCAGTCGCTCTTTCACTTTTTTTCCATTTGAACTAAATTCCCGAGCTTGATGATTTATTGATAACACGCAGAACTGTGGTGTCCGGAGCCGCAGTGACCAGATCTGTGATAAGAGGAGGGGGAGGTGGTGGCCCTGACCCTTTTCTCCCTTCTCAAGTTGCGGCTTTCTCCGGAAGATGCTGCGAACTCTGGCCGGGCTGCGGGCTGAGGAAACGTCTCCTTCCTCCTCCTCCTCCTATCTCTGCCGGACCGCGGCGGGGCTCAGCTGAGGTCCGGGCTGCTCTGCAGCTCCACGCCCGAGCCCAGCTGGGAGGGCAGCTCCATCTCAGAGCAGCGCAATCTTCCCGACAGCACGCCGGCCGCCCGGTGCGGAGAGGCACGGTAAGAGCCGACTTGAGGGCGGGGGGAACCCCGGCACCAGGGGAGAAGGTGGAGGGAGGGAGGCAGAGAAACGAGGGTCGTGATACCGCGCTTCCTCCCCGCCCGCTTCTGAAGAGGAGGAGTGGGAGGGGAGCTCCGAAGGCACTCGGAGCCACCGCCGAGCCGGTGCGGAGCATCATCCTGCCGGCAGCTGAAGGGCGGCGCGCTGCCAGCTGCCATCCAGAGGCACGGAGCCAGGTAGGCGGCGGTGGGAGCGCCGGCACAGCGCGTCCCGCACGGAGGCAACAGGGGAGAGCCTGAGAGCTCCTCTTCACCCTCAGAGACTTTTTGGGATCGGGCTGCCCCGGCCCGCCGGCTCCGTGCCCGGCAGCCCCCCGGTTTGGAGGGGCTGGGCTGGGATGGGATATTGGCGCGTTAGAAAGGCGCTGCGGGCTGGGCGCGCTCTGGCAGCGGGAATCACGCTGAAAGTATTCCTATTATATTGAAATATACAGACGTATTGCTGCGTGTGAAACTCGTTTACTGCCATAGTTAGTCCGGTGATTCCAGTGACTCGGATGGTGCTAGCAGTCGGGCAGCTTGCTTTGCAGGTATCACTCTTACTTTTGGGTTGTGTTCTTTCTCCCTTTTTAGAAATGTTTTTAATTTCACTATCAGTTTTATAGCTTCTGAAATACTTTCATTTCCTAGATCTGGTTGTTTCTTACCACTGTACTTTTATGTTCACAAGCGGGAGGGCTTGAAGATTTACTTTCTTTAAAATAGAGCCCTAATAATACCCACTCCTTTCAGAGAGGCATGTGTTATTCCCTGAGCCCACCAACTTCGGTTTGACAAAATGAAAAAGCTGAAAGAGATGATTTAAGGGATGCCACTTTCCTTGTTTCAACAAGTTGCTTTGTTCTCTGAGCCGGTAATTTCCTCTCAAAGTCGAGTTTGTCATCGTTATGTAGATGACGCGGTGATATGTGTGATGTTAAACCTGCAGTCACTGGGGATTAATGCATGGGCATGACATCACCAACAGCCAATGAGGGGATGGTTTTGGTCACGTACTGACCCAAGCTGCCTTCCAAACTGATGGTGATCCTGCTCTGCTCTGATGGTATAACACAAGTTTGGACGTACAGGGTGGCTTCCTTGCATGCTTTCATTGTTCTGCTCTGTCTTGTGCCCTCTCAGATAGGCACGGTTCATTAAACAGACACGTGTGTATGGTTAGTCTGATGGATCAAAGATTTGGGAAGAGTTGGACATATTAGTTACCTGATGTTGATAGATACAATGTGGCTGCGCTGCTTGTTGGCAGAATACAAACAGCCAAAGAGTTCTCAGGCTCCGTGGCTGGAAGGCAGCATGGGCAATGTGTGAGAGCATGCAGAGGCTGCACCTGTACAAACTGCACCTCATCACTTGGAGCACAGCTGCTCGCGTGGAGGTGGGCACAGACCCAGTGCTGGAGGGTGAGCAGGGAAACCATGCAGCCAGTAGGTGCTGCTGGAGCTTGAGGGGCAGGATGGCCTGCATACCCATGCCATGCTGGTGGGTCCTGCTATGCTTTTGCCTTCACCCCAGGACCTGAATGTCTCTGTGCGGCTGATGTCCAGCAGCGCTGAAGCTCTCAGCCTCTGATCCTGCTATGTTGCTCTTGGGTGGCTTAAACTCAGTTTTCTAGGGTAGCTTTTTGCAGAATCACAGCACGTGTTACCAAGCACAGCCTGTCCCCTGGAATGGGCATTTCTGCTTCTGTAACCTTCATCAGTCTGCAGCAGATTTGTTCAAGTTCCCTGCAGGTCAGTGGGGGTCTTCAGCACTGGCTGTGTGAGGCATGTGTCAGTATCACAGATATTTGCACACAAATCATGTGTATCAGTTTAACTATTTTCTTCTGGAGTTCTTACTCTCAAACATAAAATTTTGGTCCAGAGTTCATCCCTGAAGTTTTAATATATATATATATATTTTTTGTCTGTAGTTATGTGTACACACACACACACACACACACACACAAACTCTCTTACCTGTGCCTTTGCGTTGATAGTCATTTGTATTGAGGGAACCGTGCAGAATATTAGCAATAGAGCAGATGTGCCTCAGAGGTACATGTGATTCTTACACCTTTGATGCCAATAAAACGTGACAGGATACATCTAATGAATTACCTTTAAATTAGAAAGCAGTAAACAAGCCATCATTGGATTATGGGAGCATTAAAATGAGAAGAATGTTAGCGTCCTTTGGTATCCTGTGGCACATTTTTACCAGCTAGGAAATAACATGGGCTACTGCCGAGAGAAAGGGTCTCTAGAGAACTGTAATGATTTTCATCTCTGTGAAATAGATTTTTTTTTAAATGCTATTACTTACTATCTCATATTTAGATGATGCTGTAGCTGAATTATTTTCTTTCTCCTACTTTCACACCTATGTTTACTATTATTTTTCTTCAGCGCTGGTGCAAGGCAAAGGTACCCTGGCAGCTAAAAGCTCCTAATTGTACAAGAAAGACACACACAAAATGACATAAGAGGCTTAGTGACAGATTTCAGACCAAATCTGAACAGTTTTTCTGTCTCACCAGGGTGCAGAAATGGTCTGGTCCATGCGCATGTATTCCATAGCACTTTCACCCAACAGATACAGAAGGTTGTCCCAGTTCTGGTAATTCTGGGATATGATTGAAGTTCCATGGAAACTGAGATTTATATCTGTTCCTAAGAACAAGATTAAGCCCAGCATTCTCTGGGTCGTACGTCTTAACAAGGAAGCATTCCCTGCTATTGCCTCCCAGATATGATGGGTCTGGCTTACATAATTAACAACCAGTTGGAAGTACTTGTGCAGAGCAGCTCTTGATCTCCCCATGCTGACCTTTAATCAATCTGAAGCCAACACCTGCTGCCCTTGCTCAAGCAAGATGACCAATTAAGGACTGGGCTTTGAATGGAAAGAATTTGACCATCACTGCTGAAGTGGTAGAAAGAAAAGTGTCTTGAAGAGGTAAACACTAAAATACTCAGGTTCATCTAGAATAGGGCTTCTTGTGAAATCTTGAAATTAATATGCTCTTCCAATACTGCATTGCTCTGTTGGCCAATGAAACATCAATTCCTTAATCTAGAGCTAAACTTGAATTTGTGAGTGCAAGTAATTGTTTTGTTTGGAACATCAATATTTAATAACACTCCAAGACAAATCTTTAACTCGCTAACAATGTGAATAAGGAGCAGCAAAGACGCCTTTGTGTGCTAAGCTTCATTCCAGTGCTCTGAGGAAAGTGTTGAGGATATTGCTTTGTCTCAGTTTTTGGAAGAGTTTTCAGAACAAAGATATGTATGTATCCAATATATTGGATTTTCCTTGTCTCAGTCTTATGGTTTATGGCCCTGGGACTTCTTGCCCCCTCTCAAAGTCTACTCAGGATAACTCTCTCAGCATCTCTTTTTCCCTTTTAAAAATTTGATAACCACTATGCAAGCAGTTGTTTTGAAGCCAGTGCCAACCCTGTAGATCAGAAGATCACAGCACACTTTCACCTGAGGTTAGGCAGTGCAACGTGAGCTGCTTTGCAGTGGCAAAGCATCCGGAATACTTGCAAGCTATGGGGATTTCTATTGGGTTGTGTCACTGAAGTCAGGTCCTTTGCTATTCTAAAGAGTCTTATATGGAGGAACAAAGGATGGTAGATTTCACCAGTTTTTCTTTTTTTTTTTTTTTCCCTCTCTTTTTTTTTTTCTTTTTTCTTCTTTTTTTTTTTTTCCCCAGTGATTATTTTGGAAAGACTGAGAGGTGAAAGACTGATTTCCTCAGAGTCAGTAGAACTATGCCAGTGTAAAGCTTAAATGAAGGAAAGTAGTATCAGGTATCTCTGTGACTCCGAAGGTGACCCATTGTTTTTATTGCCCTTCTGTTGTGTTTCAATTTCAGTTACACTTAACAGGGAACACCTATGGAATAAAAACTCTGGTGGGGTCAGGCCTTTCTCCTTGGAGGATATTTCCCTCTGTGCAGCAACAGCACGAACTTTTCCCCTCCTTCCTTTAAAATAACAAGTCAAGTGCCATGAGGATAAAGGATTAAGTGGCACCACTTCCAGCCTCACTGTTACAGGACAGCAATATTCTGGTTAAGGGCCTTAGTCCCCAGCCCTCAGCGCAGAGCTCCTGCTCCTTGCTGTTCTCCAGCCTGCCACTCTCAGCACCTGGCTGTGCATCACATCCTGGTGAGCTGAAGGATGCAGTATAGCTGGCACCAGCCTGACTTTGATTCTGGAAGTGACTAACCATGTAACAGGAGAAAGCAGGACACTGATGTTTTAGCTCTTAAAATGTTCCTAGGCATTTGTCTAGTCAGCAAGAAACTGCTGCCTCAACCAGAATCATTTGAGTAGTGCCCAGCCATGAGCAAACCAGCTGACACAAGTTCTTTGGGCAGATCTCAGGTTCCCATCTGCATAATGCAGGTTTTTCATCGACGTGTTTGCGTTTCCCAAGCTGTGTGCCAAATTCACACCTGGTATAAATTTCTGAGGAGGAGGGAACTCAGTTGTCGTAGGCAGCACTGGATGGGTAGTGATTTTTCTCCTCAACGAAATTAAACAAGTTTCCTTTTTCCTGAGTCATTTCAGATGCTCAATTAAAAAATTTGGAAACGATTTGTTGATAGGGTCCCTGGTCTTACACTGGTGCATCTGGGATTTGTATAGACCGAGAGTTATTAAAGCTTCCAGTGTACATTCTGTGCATGTGTAATTAAGGAGTGACTGTACTTTGATGTCATTTGCTGTGTCATCCAGACTCCGGTTATGGAGGCTGTGGTATTTTATATTGTCATTGGTGAGCAGAAGCATCCCTGAGTGAGTGAATCTGTTTGAAGGACCAGGCTGTGGCTGCTTTAGCCTAGAGAGCACAGTTACACTTGGTTTTCTTTGCTGTTTCCATTATTCAATGAGAATTATGTGTGTTTATGATGGTCTGATCAGCAAATAGAATTGCATTGCA